TTAAGACGTCTTTGTTAGTGATTCGCTCAATATAAATAGGCTAATTTTTCTATTGTACCTTCCCATAATCGCACCTATTTGAGTACCGGTCCTAAATTTGATCCAATATTACCAAAACGTGTAGCGTACTAATTGTTAAGTAAGGGCTAGTTCTGTCAAAAGCTTGCTGGATAATATCCGAGAAGGACTACTACGGTAGTTTTTGTTTTTGTAAATCCATTTTCAGTGAATATTGGGAAGTGAGGGCGTAGGAGAAAAGACTGTGAGCGATATGATTACTTCCCTCTTATCCTTGAATTTTGCAGAATAATACTCACTTTTTTGCTCCTTTTTCATTGATAAATTCATTCATAAAGGTCATTTCTTAAGTTGGGAAAAAAGTTGTGGTTTAACAGATGGATTAGATTTTTATAGTGCTGGGATAAACAAGAGAATTTTCTAACATATTCTTATACTTTGTCTCATCCAAAGATAATATTTCTATTCAATTTTCCAAAGCTAGACCGAGTTATGACCAAAGATACTAAGTTGACGATAAAAAAACATATATTCGGATTTTTTTTTTTTTGCCTGCGAGAAAGATATGCTGGTGAAGACTAATGATGGCCGGAAGTATCTTGAGATGACTTTGAGAAATTTGCCGCAATTTTCAACTTAACTCCCGTGGTTTTTGTTGCTTGAATTCAGAATTGTCTGTGAAATGTGGCCTGAATTCTTTTTTGAACATTGTAAACTTGCTGACAATTTGTCTGAAACCCTAATAACTTGTTAATGGGGCGAAGTTTTATGCACAAAGGGTTTGTTTGCCTTTTTTCTTTAACTCGTATGTTAATCCCATATTTCAAATTAGGCTTAAATTGCTAACAATTTCTACTTTAAAGTATTTGGTTAGTCCGTAAAATGCTTTTTCTAATAATATTAATCTTACTGACAAAAACCAGCATAACAGCTGAATAATCAATGATCCGAGATATTCTTTCCCAACCTAATATATCAGGTCTCCTCGCAGTATTGGGACCGATCTCTTCGAATTTACACTCAAATACTCGTGGCTTTGAAGGAAACAGTTTTAGTAAAATTCTGAATATGTGTCTTGTGAAAGTTGGATATGTGAATGAAAATTTTTACAAGAGCTAACCACAAAATTTTGTCCTAATTTGAAAATAAAAAATTTTGATCAGTTAAAGCAAGCATCTTCCTGTACTTTCGCTTATCCATAGAATTTTATTGTAAAGACAGAAGAAGCTGTGGTTGTGTCTAGTAAGTGCTAAAAGTTAAGCAATTCGCTCTTTATTTCTGTGAAAATGAGGAATTTGAAAGAGAAAAGTAACAAATAAGTCTGATTTCTGAGTTTTTTGATCACTATAATTTCCTTATAAGTCGAATGTGCTTTTAGATTCTCCTCTATTGCTGTTTCTGATCGTGTCAAGTTTAAAAGTTTCACGATTTTTCGGATGATGAATTTGACCGAAGTTTTTTTTACTAAATTTTTAAACTAAACCTTTAGGCTTGTAATTTTTTGAATGTTTTTGCTTATTGTTCGATTTCAGGCATAACGCTATAGTGAATCTGGCTCAAATGGACGATTATCGGAAACTGTTGGAGAGGAAGGTGTGTTCGAATTAGAGTTGTTACAGTAGAGTTTTACTGCGAATCTTGCTTATCTCCCTGCAAATTACAGAGGCAACTGGAAAAACTCAGAGACGATGCGCTGAAGAAGATTCAGCA